CTCTGTCATCTCAGCAATTACGATGTATATCAAAGGCGATCGATAGTTTCGTGTGATTGAATTTTTACAGGAATCCTCTTAAGGGGGGACCCCGGTGAAATTTGAAAGTCTTCGGTGGATCTAGGGACTTATTAAGCGACTTTAGTTATATGATGGGATATGTTAAAAAGTGGGAAAAATCCCGGACCCAATCGGTTTTGGCCCCGTACTTCTACGGAAAACATCGTTTTTCACGTTTCTACCTTTAAAATGTTCCTGGTTCCCCAATTTTGATCCGATTTGATTTTTTTTTCAAAATGTTCGTGAGACTCGAAAGAACAAAGTTAAGCTTCCGTTTTACGATCCATTATGTAGATCATGAGAAGATCGAAAAAAAAAGAAAAAACCGAGAAAAGCGGTTTTCCCTTTTGATTGTGTTTGCATTATGCCTGAAAAGTCTTTATTTTGAATAGTTGACGATCAGAAGGAAACCCCCTTTTTTTTCTTTTTTTTCGGTTTTTTTCGATTTCGATTTTCGGATGGCGCGGCTGCATACGCATTTTTTTAACGAATGACCCTCCAAAACGCAACCATAGACGTATCCACGTCGGAAATTGGAAGAAAAATCTACATCATACATTTAGTTTCAAAATTTATTCAAAATTTTATGGTGCAAATGCGAAAGAAGCTTTTTTGGACACACATATGCTACTTTTTTCTCACTTTATCGTCCTTCTAGGTCCGACTGGAGCTTGGCAAGCTTTATAAAATGAGAAATTTCAACGTTATCAAGTTGGGATCTCTCAAGATAATTGTAAAACAGCAATTAAAAAGTATATCAAAAGCAGAATTGAGCACATGTAACAATCCATTTGAAGAATATTGTAAGGATTTACGAAAGCAATGTCTGAGACGTCAACACAAGAAAAGCAAATCCTGTCTGATGAATTTTTTGAGGGAATAAAAGAGCAACGAATACATCGCGACCACATCGTATTAATAAGAGAATAGTTTGAGAATTTACAAGAAAATGTATCTACGATGAATTAGGGTGAGATTTTTGCATCCCTTTTTAGCAACATAATTCAGTAATTGTTTATTACTGGTTCGATAAATTATAAACATTCGAAGCAGAGTACGCGACTTTTTTAACGAATTTTTTTCGTGAACAACAATGCTGGAATTGGTGTTGTTTATACATTTTCTTTGTGAACCTTCTTTATACAATATTCTTTGTTTGATGTAAATAACAAATTTGTTTTATGCTATGATATTTACATCACTAAATATATTTTTCGAAATATCATTGCAAGTTAAACATTAATTCCTGACACCTTTACTGTCAATCAAACCTATCAAAAACATTCAATTATTCATAATTTCAAGCTGCAAGGTGGAGCACTGCTCACATCTTTCACACGCTTATGAACTTTACGCACGATTGTTCTCAAAAACTATTGGATCGATCAGGCTAAAATTTTGCACAGAGCAAGTCCTCATTAGAACCTATAATGTGACAAAATTTAAGATTTTTTAGAATTACTTTAGCTACTTAATTACTCTATTTTCTAAAATTGACCACCGGGAAGGCGCCGATGGAGGTGTTCACATATAGACATAGTCGCTAAACTTTGTATTTTTACGTTCCAGACCACAAACCTTTTCATTCTGGAAATCTAGGGGGAATATTTATTCCGTTCATCGAACCGAAAAATCTCTAAAAAAATAATAACAAATTCTGGTAAATGTTGACATTTAAGATGATATACATTTGAGCCCTCAAAAATGATGATTTATTTATTAATTCGATCAAAGTGTCCGAAACTCCTAGGGGATTTAATATTGGAAAAAAGTGTCCAAAAATCTAATGATTCTCAGGATGAAAAGGTCTATTCTACATCAATTCTTGCAATTAAAATTAGAGAATATGAAAATTGAAGGATTGCAATGCTTCTATTCGGAAAAAATGTTTTTCATCACGCTGTGACGAAAAGTGAACTTTTCGGCACGCTCCGCGTGCCTAAAAGTCCAATTTCCGCCACATTGTGATGAAAAATATTGTTCGTAACTCGTGAAAAAATGTTTTTTAGCTCATGGGATTATATTATAAACCTCCCACTCGCCAAAAAACACTTTTTTGCACTCGTTACGAAATATACTATTCTGTACTGCTTCTACGATTTCTCGCCTGGGAATTGGTATTACATACTTCCAAAACTCGAAAACTTGAAAATCACTACAGAAAAATATTGTTCCTGGGCTGTTCCGATGGGGTTTTTTACTCGTGTGGTTGGCCAGTTCTCGCCTACGGCCTCCGAGCCGTAGGCGAGGACTGGCCAACCACATAAGTAAAAAACCCCATCGCAGCAGGCCGGAAAAATACTATTTTTTTGCTTGAATTGCGTCAAACAGCCGCTTTTCGATTATTTAATTTTGCTCTATTCTCCCACCATAAATATGAAGTGTGGCGCGGCTCGGCCTGCATCAATTCGCATCATTACCGACAGAGCCTGCCACTAGCACCAACGACGAAAACAGATACTAGTCGCGAGACAGCCCTAAGAAGATACATAGAGTTATTCAATCTATTATACATAGTTTTTCCTCGCATCTCAATGTACCACCACAGCTTTGACGTTCCAACTTTTGAATCGCAAATATTAGTTAATAATTATTTGACTGAATAAATATAGTTTATTGATAACGCATTCAGTTATCTTCTACTTATATCAGACCCCTAAATCTCCATAGAAAGACTTCATGCGCGCAACCAAAAGGGCACCACTATCAATATTATGGGTATATGTTTTGGGAAGTACCGAGTTTTATGAGATACCAAAAGAATTTCGAGCAGAATAGTATTTTTCCAGCGACGTGCTACGCACGCGCCTTCTTATCTCCTCACGTTCTGGCACTTCGATTTCAGCCTTCCGGTAACAGGGATTCGAGATTTTCGAGATATATCGAGATCGATTTCCTTTCTCCTTTTTACGATAGGATTTTAAGCATCTGTAGGGCAAGCGAACAATAACCAATTAATGTTTTTGCAATAATTATTCATTTTTAGACATATAATCGATCTTCAATGTATAAATCGCATTCCAATAGCCCGCGACCTTTAAAACTCAGATGAATCGATAGAAATGTGTAAACTCTCAATACTAGAGAACGTCTAAAGCTTCGAATGATTGAGGACCAATTCGTAACAATTGACACAAATACCTTTCATAATCATCAAAGATCATCTACAAGATCTGTAGTTCACCCTTTCACCCAAATTTCGCTGCGGCTACACTCATAATTCCATTGTAAAACTTGAAATATCTCGGTCTCATTCCGTAGCGCTGACTTTCCTGGTGCTTTTCTTGTCACTCTGCCCCACTTGCCTCGTCTCGAAGAAGCACATGCGCCTCAACGCAGCGAGCGATATTTGAATTACCGGGACAATCAAGAAAAATAAGGATAAGTAAATAGAATATGAGTAAAAAAGGTGTGGCCCTGGGTGTTCCGATTGCTCGCTGGGGTTAAAATTTCAGTTGTTCTCCTAATAAGTCGCGGTCAGTTTAGGCGAGGAACAGTACATAATTTTTATTACGTTACAATACATACATACATACATTGCTTAAAAATATGATTGCTTCCTTTTTCTAGGCATTTCCACCAAAAATTGAAAAAACGAAAAAAATCACGATTACAGAGCTTCCATTTGAAAACAAAAGTGGTAAAATAGAAAAATGATGAACTTGACGATTCAACGTGTATGAAAAACTCTATTTGGCGTTATTCTCTATGACGCAATTATAGCTTGATGTATATAATACTGGGATAATTTCTATATGTCCAGAGAAACGAGTCCTATGAAAATTGGGACTTGGAAAATTTTATGAATTTTCTAAGAACAATGATAATAAATGAGAAAAATTGATTCTTATGAAATTTTAAAAACTCGGTAGATATAAATTTTTTAAGGAATTATTTCTAAGGAACCACCCTACATGGATTTTCTATAAAGTATCTCTATAGATTTTTTTCATACGTGAAACATGTGCGATAATAGCCACGTTCTAAATGGAATATTAGATCGCGATGTTTCGTTAGAGGGAATTGACGTCATCAGACTGGGAACTGTCTAAAGCTTCTAGTAAGGAGACAAATTCACGAGATACCAGGAAGCAGGGCATTTACATTGAACGCCAAGTCAGCGGTGAAGAATCTGCGGCTGACAGCTAGTTACAACTAGCAGGGTTAGGGGGAATGCAAATTTGGATTATTGCAATCGCTTGGTGGTTCGAAGGTGGTCAAAAGTAGTCCANGTCTTACTGAGAGGTAATCCCCCCACCACTTCCCACTCCGGGCCCTTTAAATCATTTCGGAGCACGTTTGGAGGGTAGAAAATTGGTTTAACGAATAAGAATCTCAGACTTAATTCTTTTGTTATTCAATTTATGTTTTTTTAATGAACGTGGAGTGAATACTACAAAAAAAACATAATTGAACTTATAACGGAGAATTATTCGTTCGAGTATAATCGTAATCAATTGTTTGGAAGTGACACGGAGAAGATGACGATCGAAAAAAATGCAATGATAAATGACGAGCATCAACAATCTCATAAGAAGTGCATGATCATTTTCCACGCTCCTTTTTTTTTTTGGTTTTACAGCGATAGTACAATCAAACTGTTCAATGAACCCATACGACAGCTCCAGAATAAATTGATCAAGTGCTGAACATATGTGATACACGCTTGAATCCTGTGGGGATCAAAAGTGGCCCAATTCCATATTGATTGATTTCTTTTATTCAGCTGATTAAATGATAACTTCTTTTGCAAGGTACCCGTTAGCTGCGCCCCCCTCCCCCCCGCGCCTTGCCAGATTTCTAACTGCTTCGCAGTACATAAGGTGGGCCTTGGCCGCCATTACAATGTTACAGTTTTATTTAACTGTTTGGGGAACCATCGTCATTTTGGAGTAATGTAATTTCAAAAAGGTAATAATAATAATTTTATTAGTCACTCTTCGGGAGCGCAATTTTTTTTTACGGGAATAGTCGTAATGAACGTTCTAACAAGTATTTTCTAGAGAATGAAAACCTATGCAAAGGGTGTGAATGTATGCAATTCCAGTAACAGAAGGTTAGAAAACCGAATAACGTTGAATGCCAGTTTTTTCAATTCCTCATTACTCTGCTATCAACGTCAGGGCGAGTCCATGTGCTCCGAAAATTGAAATTAGGTTTATATCTTTCACTTGTCTGTGTCATGATTTTTTATACCTATTGAAGTGACCGGGAGACCGCTCATTAATGATAAAATGAAAAACGCGGAGAATTTGTTGAAAAAGACACTGTATTCACCATCAAGCCTTTAACGCACTTCAAGGAATTCAAAACTGAACGAAACGAGAGACGATGCTTTAAAAGGAAAGCCTAAGATTGAAAGAGATGAAGTCACATTCCCTTGAAGATAACGAATCACTCATGGAGTGGAGTCGAATCTGCACATTTACGAAGGAGGAGCAGGTAAAACCCATTCGTATTTGATTCTCAATTTATCCACTCATTCGGGATTGCCAGATTCTAGGGGGAAGTGTCAAAATCTTCTTTGGTGTAAATTCATTGCAATTAAATTCAAATAATTTTTATCCTATTTTTCCAGTGTCAAAAATTGAAAAACACTCTCCTCCAAAGACAAAATGATCCAGACCTGTTGGTCCGCGCGAAGAAATTCACCGAAGCAGCAGAGGTCGAGAAAGAAATGGAAACCTGGAAAAGAGAAATAGAAGAGCTATCAAAATCCCGAACACTGATCGTCCCCCAGACCCAGAAAGAGGCCAAGAACGACCCTGAAACGATGATAAAGTGCCTGACGATCATTTTCACAATGGCCCAAGCAACATCAGTAACGACCCTGACATCAACCCTGAGAAGCCTCTTCAACAACCTGGCGCTCCCCAGTATCGACCAGGACGATGCAGGGGTCCAGGCCCAGGCTCTGAAGGCAGTGGGTGTCTGTCTCTTCCTCGATGTGAGAGCTCGCCAAGAAGCACCTGTTGATGTACCTCGTGGCGATGACCTCAGACCAGGAGAACCAGGACCTATGGCAGATCTGTCTTGCTGTTATTTTCGACATGTTCCTGAGATATGGACTGGATCATTTCCAGGAGATCATCAGTACTGACAGGACAATGGACAATAGCAGGCAGAACCCAGAGAACAGCAGACGTCATGGCACCAGGTGATTACAATATATTTCATTCATTTCATTAATTAATTCTTTCATTCCTTCAATCCTTCATTCACTCATTCATTCAGTACCAAAGTGGTAAAGGGTACCAAGTTGATTTTCCATATATCTTCTTTGCTGTAAGGGAATGATCTATTCACGAAGAGCCTTTGCAAGTTTTCTTTTGAAATCAATTGTTTTAGAGAAAATTTCAAATCTATGCAATTTTAGAATTGAATGATACAACTTGAACTTTCCTCTGAATTTGCCATATTCATCTCGAGGGTGAATACAGTACTCCATAAAGAAATCTATGGAAACTTTTTTTTTGTAAATGGAAGAATACAAAATGAAAAATTTCTGTTGGTATTTTTCAATGGCAATTTCAAAACTCTCAAGTTCGAGAATAAATCAAAATACATTATATCAATTCTATTTTTCTCCAGTGTTTTAATTAATTTGTACGTTTCCATCGACAACTGAATCAGCACAGGGAAAAGACCTTTCTCGTCACCAGTAATAATGTCTCAATATTATAACTCTGTCGTGTTGAAATCTAGTCAGCAAAAAACTTGGAAATGAAACGAATTTCGAGAAATTTTAAGAAATCTCGTCGGAAACGAAGTTTGAATTACTAATTTTCCCCTGATATTATTTCACTTGAATCCTGACTCACTTTTTCATCATTTTGAGGACATTTGAGTTCTTAAATCCAGAACGAAAAAAATTGTAGAGTTATTCTCTTTCTATTAATGGAAATTCTCACCGACCAATCCAATTAAAAGAAATAGAATAGAGGAATAGAGGAGGGCATATGAGAAGGGCCCATCTTGTTGATATGGAGTTATGAGTATTCCAATATTATTGATAACATTTCGTCCATTTTCCATCATTTGTTTGGCTACCCAGAATTTTTCTTCGGTGATCAGATTCGTCACGTGTTTTCATATTGCCTCCTATCCATATTGTTATTCCTAGAATTTGTCGGTAGAGGACTTTCCAATTTATGAATAAATCACCTAAAAGTTCGTGTATAGAAAAAAATTATTTAATTTTTCAGTTCATCTGTTAATTCAGAAGAAAGCTAAAGAGATTGGATCTAGTCCCGAAATCTTATGAGCATGGCTGTTACTCTTTTGATGAAAGGGGAGCATTCTGCCAAAGCTGTTAGTGATTGACAACTAATAATCTACTAATCCTAATGGGAGAATTCGCAGATAGTATGTCCTTCGACGGTGAGTTTTTGACGTAGCAAACAATTAATGTCAAGAATAAATCTAAAAAAATTACAATATAATTAAAGGGTTTTCTTCTTTCTCATGGTTTTAGGTCATGAATAGGAAGATAACAGGATGTTTGGATCGTTAAGAGACATTTTTCTTCAGAGAATATGCAAGATGAAAAAATTTTGTAAGGTTCTAACGATGGAAATCCTATAAAAAAATAAAAAGTAGTAATCCCTTCTATGCTCAGCCGTATTAGTGAACCAAAATCCATCATTTGTTAAAATTTTTTAATTAAAGTCCCAAGCAAAAATCATTTTACATCATTCAAAACAAAGAATTCATCTCCACACTCTGTACTGCAGTTAAAATAATTCTCCTCAGTCGGTAATACAGGCCATCTTTTTATCCATTGTCCAGGAATATCGATATTTTGTTTTGCTTTTATCATAAAATTCTAAATACGTAACGGTTTTTCCGGTACATATTGTTATTCTACTAAATTTTTGTCCCGAGATCAGCATCGAAGTATTGTTGCTCACCCTTAAGTTCATCTTTGATGAATATCACAAGTTGAATCGAATAAAAAGCACCTGATCAATTTGACCAAAAACAAGTAAATAATCTCAAAAAATTGGGAACAAATAACCTGTAATGAGCCCCGAATTCATTCGAGAATTGTATTTTGACCTCACGTTCGTATTATGATGTCGTGAATATTGATGCACGACACTTGGGAAGCATAAAATAGTTAAATGAAAAAATAACTCTTCATCATTCATATTATTTTTGAATAGCATTTCAAATTCGTTGATGACGTAGGCGAAACACATTGGAAAAGAAGCAAATTAATAAATATCAATGAAAAAGTACTGAAAGAAAATTCTCAAATAGATGTGAGAGCATTAGACAGTCCCAAGAAAGATGAATGGTCTTTGATTTTCTTTTCATCCTAGTCCAGGTATTTCAAATATAAAAAAATTACCAGAATTATTCTCACATGCACACGGAAATTGCATAGAAAAATCCAACCAATTCAATAATATATTCTATCAGTGATTGGCTAATTTTAGCATAGAATTTTGCCTTTTCAATGAACGTTATTTCAGCAGAAACTATTTTGCAGAAGAAAAAATGGTAGAGTTCCATCTTTCTATACACCTTTTTCTATCAAGACGTTTTTCACATGCATTTTCTCGATATCAATGTTTTGGGTTTGTTATCACTCCATTTCTTTTTTTTTCATTAAAAGGATCAAACAAAAAATCATAGGAAGTTTACTGGAAAGCCAACAGAATTTTCCTGTGAATTGACGTGGTTTTCCCACGAAATTTCCGATAAAGATTAATTCTTCTCATCTTTCTAGTTAAATCCAAATTGGAGAATGGGTCGAGTAGCTGGGACACCCGAAGACACAGCCATACAGGTGGTAGAAGAATTTATCGAGGACTTCAAAACGAACGTTTTTCCAGACTATTCTTCATCATTATGGAAATCAATGAGTAAAAGAATACAAGATTTAGGTGGAACTTCGAATTTTCACGATGTGTACACGGCAGTCGGAGAAAATCGACGAAAAATATTGTCAAAAGCACGAAAAAATAAAGGAATTGAGCTGGAGCCCCCCTCCTCCCAAGCCAAACAAAGCAAGGAAATCGTTCAATGATTCCAGTATATTGGACACTTCTACTACGGGACAACACTCAGACGATGATTACGAAATAAACCCAGAAGCTGCCGGATTGGCAACCTTTCATCTTGTTATTTCTCCATCTAACTGGCAGAAGATGCGTGAACCACCTGACGGAAAGTCTGAAATGCTGAATAGAGCTAATCTTGTTAAAGACGTGTATCAGTTTATCCTCTCGGACTTAATCCATCATCAGACTGATCTCCCTTGTGTGTATGCATTCAAAGAGGCTAATGAATGTAATTCATCTGAAAGTCCCTATTTCTTGCGTGTGAAAGGGACTTGCATACGTAAAACCTGCCAAAACCCAATGTTCGCCTATGTCGATACAGATCCAGAAGATTCGGAGTTCATTCTTATCTTACGCACAAGAGATACAACAGCTAATAAAGATCACGAGGTTATACATCGTCCCACCAGAGGTATCATCCGAGAAGCAACAGGTGCGCAATTACTGAATCAAGGTGCCTATAATTATAGGAAGGAGCAGATCAGCAAGCGCTCAACTCTGGGGAGGAGAATTAATCCTACAATACCACCCATGCATATTCTCCATCAAGTAAAGAAAGAACATCTAGACAAAAAGCTTGGTTCCACTCCTGGAGACGGCAAAGACGTCAGAATGACACTGATAAAAATGCAAGATGATCCCAAGTACAATACTTCAATCCTAGACACGAATTCCAACCCATTTGTCGTGACTTACAACTCTCCAGCCCAGAGATATGCTTACAAACGTTATCACGAAAAATTAAAGAGGAATTCATCAGTATCAGGGGATGGCACAGGTAGCATATCGACCAAGTTCACGCGTGGCGATCAGACTAAGACTGGACACATTTTTATATACTCTCTAGTCATTCACGTCGATGGTATTATTTTACCAATCCACCAAATGCTCACTGAGAGCCAGCACACCAACACTCTCGAGAGATGGATGAGAGTATGGATCAACCCTCCGCGGCCATTGCCCAAACTTCCAAAACCTAGTCAATTTGTTTGTGATGGTTCGAGGGCATTGATGAACGCAAGCTGCTTAGCTCTGAACGATCAATTGATAATAGTATATGTTGATACGTGTTTCTTGTACGCCATTGGTGCTGATGAGTATAGGTATCGTCCTGCTATTTCTACACATATACGAAATGACGTTGCTCATATCTTACATCAAGTGGCAGGATGGAAGTCCCTCAGATCTCTTCATTGGTCAATAGGGAACTTGCATGTTTTTTTTTTATTTTATTTTTTCATGAAAACGTGGTCCCTATAATCCATTTTTAACAAAAAAACATTTAAAAAATGGTTCAATAATTAATTATTAATTTTTGAAAAAGTCAAATTTTTAAATGCTCCGAAATCGCTCGTGACGTCATTAGGCGGGTTCTATACTTTCTCATGTGGCGCCATCCGCCGGAACATGATACCATCACCGTCGGTAAATGGAATCCTAACCAAAACCAACCAAAATACTGGCCCAAGACTGAACTCCAAAATGTCAAATGCAAGTAAAAATGTTGGCAAAGCGACGTACAAATATTGTTTTGTACCCATATGTGTAAACACAACTGTGAAAACACCAGATAAAATTTTTATAACAGTTCCGGTGCGTGAAGATGTCCGAAAACTCTGGTGCGAAGCCGCAGGTTACTCTGGCCAATTACGAGGCAGATGTGATATTTGTGAAGATCATTTCAAAGTAAGTAGTTGTTTTATATGTTTTACTGGTTTCTGCCTAATTACACAATTGACATTTTGAACGATTAATGCAGAATTTTGATTAGACGTGTGCTTTTATGGTGGAGATTCATGGAAATTGAAAATTGATCTGTCATTTACAATCTTGAATTCTTTTCAATTCTTCTCTTTTTGATTGATTGATTGATGGTTTTTCATTTTTTTTGTTGTTCTTATGTAGTTAGAAGAGGATTTGGAAAACTATGTGCAGTGGAAAATGACGAATTGTCGGAAAAAATTGAAAGAAGGCGCCTATCCTCGATTCTTTGCATGCCAATTGATCCCTGACTGTCAATCGACATCGCGATCGCAACTATCTAAATTAACAGAACGATCATCGGAGACTGCCACGTCCTCCCAATCAAGATGTACTGAGACCAGTGAGCTTGAGTGTTCACATTCGGAGCAGATGAACCACTCTGATGATTTTGAAAATTTGCCAGAGATGCAACAAAGCTCTGCTTGCAACACCCATGAAGACACTCGCGTTCCAAGCTCAAGTGGTCGTATCCTGAAGATAGATAGAGGCACACAAACATCAATAATCACTTACAATAAATACGTTCAGGCAAAGCCAGCTCGTAACCATAAAGGTATAACTTGTCGATTGCTAGACGCTCCAGAGCTTTCCATCGATCAAGTGGAGAAGTCTAAAGATTCTCCACCAAATGTCTCGGCGACTCCAATCATCGAAGACCCTCTACCAAGTGCCTCAAGATCTATCGTCGAAGACCCTCCACCAAGTTCCTCTTCATCTCCAGACATCAATCCCCGTCTACCAAGTGTGCCCAAAACATTAATGGATGGAACCCCTGGCTCCAGTAAAAAGAATTCCATCCCCCTACAATTTCACTCAAGTTCCTCAGACAGTAAAATAGGGAGCAATGGTACTGTGAACTCATCGCTCGATGCAATCGGCAGTGATATTTTGGATACCAGTAGTGCACCTTCAACTAGTAATCGCAGTCTGAAACTCCAGCATTTGAAGATGAATATATACGAAAATTTCACGAAATTGATCATCGAAGATGATCCACTTTTGATGCTTGATATACCTGAAAGCTCCATGTATGTGATAGATGAATTCATCTCTTTGACAAACATTCCTCGGAAATATGTATACATTACAATGAAAACAATACGCCAAAACGTTCCTCATGCAATTCTTGCATACGATTTTGGATTATCTGAATCTCAGATTTCTAGAATTTTCAGAAATACGGTGGGGAAAATGGCAAAGATGTTCGAGGAGTGGATTGTTTGGCCTTCGAGGGAAGAGATATTACTGAATCTTCCAGTTCAATTTCGGTTGAAGTATGGAGAAGTCGATTCGATAATTGATTGCTTCGAAATTCGAATTGAACACTTGAGTCATGCAGTTCACCAGGCAGTTACTTGGTCAGAATATAAAAAGTGCAACACTTCTAAACATCTTATATCCATAACTTCTGATGGTTTGATTAATTTCATCTCATGTGCATATGGCGGTCGCGCGAGTGATGTAGAAATTGTAAAAAATTCTGGTTATTTGTCTGCTCTCCCCCCTGGATCATCTGTCCTCGCAGATAGAGGATTTAAACAAGTCGAATCAGTGTTATGGCAGAAAAAGTGTAAACTTCTACGACCTCCTTCAGTTCAAACGGATGTGCAGCCAACAGAAGAAGAAGTTTTGAAGACGAAACAAATGGGGAGCGTTAGAATTCACGTAGAGAGAGTAATCAGGCGCTTGAGAGAATTCAAAATGTTGCAACCACATGTCACTGTTGATCATAACTTATTANTGTGCGACAGTTCTACTTGTACTGCGTGGGCTTCATGATTGACATGCAAACTGTCGACGAATTCCAAGAGATATTCCTTTTAACATGTACAGTTAGTCTTCACTCCAGTGAAAATGAAGGTATCATGGCAATTCCCGGTGGTACTGTCCTGGATGCCAGGAAGGCTCTCCAGGACAAAATTGCCAAACGACCCCCCTCAATTGTTCTCATAGACAAANCTCGATTCTTCTGCCTTCAATGAAGTCTTGGTTGGGAAAAAAATCGTCTACGAAGTGAATAAGAGTTATTGGGGTGAATTTTTAATGACACAAAAAGTCTTGAACACTCCATGGAGCTCTTCTCAAATTTTCTAAAGTTTTTTTTATTTTTATGGATTAGAGGGATTGATTCAAGTATTTTTTTCCGTGAAAGAAAGAAGTTTTTTTGGTACTTTTGTGGAGTTCTGGAGGTGTCTACTTTATTTAGGAAGTCAATTAGTGCCATTAGAGNAATTGTTCTCATAGACAAAGCTGCAATGGAGAGCGACACGGGAACTTATTCTACTCCAGATAAGTGCCCAGAAGAAGAGAAAGAAGGTTCATCTCACCAATATCACAGTCATCTTAGAGAGTGGATTGATGAGATCGTTAAGAAGGCTAAAATCGTTGAAAGAAAGGCAGTCAATCATGACATAAATGCCTTTGAAGCTCAAAGATTCATCGCATCACTTATCAGCCTTTGCTATGAGTNGACTAATATAATAAATTATATTTTCAAATGCCAACATGTATATATTTTTCACGTATAAAAAAAATTCAGTTTCTTTTGGACTTGACTGAGTTCATAAGGGCTGGGAAGACGGCTGATATCCAAAATGCTGAGGCCTGCTGAAGTAAGGTCTTGGTTAGTTGAGGATCGAATAGTTCTTCGATGATTGTGACGTTCTTAATNGAACATTCAATTGATTCTGATGATTCTCTAGATAATTGGAAGAATAAGAGGATTGAAGGCAAACAGAAGAGAGTAGACTTTGCTGAAGCCACAAAGCAGGATAAGAGGAAAGAAATTGAAGAGACAAGAAAGAGAGATCGATATGAGNGTCTTTTGATGGACACTTTACTTCAATGACTGAAGTTTTAGTCAAGCCATCTGGCGATGCTCCAAACCAAGGATACTTAGGTGACAACAACAAGCCTGATTTCAATATTTTCTCTCCGATCAGCTCTTCAACAACCTTAATGACATCAGCTTCCAACTCTCCCCCTTGCCATGGCNATCCTGAAGAATGTAAATCCCTCAATGCCTGTTATTCTGGATGGGATTACCTGTTTTATCCAAAATACATGTCATCACGATGCCATCCTGGAGATTCTAATAAGAATGGCTATTGATTCTGAGGACNCCCCTTGCCATGGCATCATGGTCCATCGTTTTCCCTCCCATAATTTTTTTAAAGAGGGCCCCTTCTGTTGTTCGACAACGAGCAGTTTCGTGAAATATTGAGGCTGTGATCCGGGCATACCTCATCTCGTACCAAATCGGTGATGCACTTTNCCTGATCCTAGGCAAGCTGTTCAATCAGAGAAAGGAAATTCAAGTCCAACTCATCAAAAACACCTTCGTTTATAGTATTGATACAATGAACCCTCCTATGGAAACCTGGATGTACTGTCTACCACTCGATGCAAGTCGCACACTGACTTACGAGTGTGTAGGCTGTGGAGTCTATCGTGAGGTACAAAACAGTATTAAAGTTGATAGCAGTGTGATTATAGCTGAAGGATTCAACGCATTGGAAGGTGCTTTGCTCTTTGCTCATGGTGATTACTCTATTCAGTGTAAGGGGTGCAGACAGGAGTGTTTACTGACTATACTGCCACATTATTATGTATGTATTGAGCTTGATATTCGGGAGGATCTTAAGGCAGAGATTGGGAAAACGTGTCGACTTGAACAAATTCTATCAACGATAAATCTTGGATCAATATACAGGTGAGCATTTGTATCAATAAAGAACAAATCAAGGGATTGTTGATATCGAGATCCCGTGATATTATTACAGAAAGATCATTTCTTGATTTTTGCAGGTTAACCGGAGTAATTGGCTTCACAAGGAATCCAAATCATTTTATTGCCTATTGTAGGAGGGCAGACATTCGTTGGGAAATTCACAACGACTGTGATTATAAGTCATCCATGTGGACCTTCAAAGGTTATCGAGCCACATCTAGCAATATACATGAGAAAAGATCTCAAACACTACTCTCCACCACCACCCTGTGACTTACAAATGCCGATGAATGACCCAATCATTGAATACCCTAGTAGTCCCGTTGAATCTGTCCTTGTAGAATCTGAAGAAGTTCCCATCGAACAGGATTCATCTTCAAGCCATTTCGTCATATCAGAAACATCAGTTCCTGTGGATAAACAAGTCATCTATTCTACTGTATGCATTGAGTCTCTAGATGACACTGCAGCATCTGCTGAGCTGGGAGCAGTAACATCCAGGTTGGAGACTGAAACTCACGTTGACAGCAACAATAAATCAATTGAATCTGTCGTTGTAGGAGCTGAAGAAGTTTTCATCGAGCAGGATTCATCTTCAAGCAATTTCGTCATATCAAAAACATCAGTTCCTGTGGATAAAGAAGTCGTCCATTCTCCTTCATGCAATGAGTCCCTAGATGCCATTGCAGCATCTGCTGAGCTGGGAGCAGTAACATCCAGGCTGCAGACTGAAACTCATGTTAACATCAACACAGAAAAAATTGATCAGAACGATATTCTTCCTCCCACCATGAATCTCGTATATCTCCAGGGCAAATACTACAGCATCCTTAATGCTTCAACATTCGATTCACTTGTCCAATTAATGTATTCAGCTGCTAATCTGAATATTCAATATAGAAATGAAATTAAGAACTCTAACAATCGAATGTTGAAGTTGATCTCACTATTAATGGAAGAGGGAATCACTCCAAATTTCTTGGAACAACGAGCAAGATGTTTAGTCGAGAATTTTCCCTTATATGTTCATCCAGATCGCATGTATGGTAAAATGGAGAGGGCAATCAGGATGAGCGGAACCACGTTGTGTACTTGGGAGAAGTATCTGAACGATGAGCCTAGTGGAGTTGAGGCATACAACTGCCCCAAATGTGGAAAGTACACAAGACCCATATTCCTAGAACCTGATAGTCAAAGACTCATCCGTCAACGTTTCAGAAATTTGCAAAAGGCTCTTGACGTTCACGATATGTTATACAACGTCCAATGCAAAAATGAAAAATGCACTGAGGTTTGCACTGTGGAATTTCTTTACAATCTCCATGTTTATGTCAAATTCCTATGCACTACTAATTGCATGCATAAAACATGTACACTGAGAGACCTCTCTCAATCTGCAAGTTCGATTTTACAATCGTGTCGGTAAGAATTGATTCATATAAATTTGTCAATGGATGAATACTCCAATAATATTCTCTTATTTTTTCCAGTTACAATTTAATAGGCGTGAATGCATATGTTCAGGGAATATATCATACCTTTATAATGACAAAGGCTGGCAACTGTGAGACTTAAAACTGGATATTTATCGACCAAGGAGTGCTCGAGTACTATTGAGATTGTCCCTTTTGGAGTCCTCTATCTGATGGAAACAAAGGAACCTTGAATGTGGCAGGCTTCCATCACTTATCGTTTTTGTATCCTGATTTTGCACATCTTGGATTGAATCGCCAAAGGAACATGTGGATTATCATAAGTGTTGTGAGAAGGACTACTGAAAAATGTTAATAGTTTCCAGGGACCATGATCACGAGAAAAGGATTGTTAAAGAAATTGGAATTCCCTACGGGTTAATTTTCATCTCTCTATAGATTATTTTTCACTATGGATATGATTAAAAGTTTCCACATGAAATGTGAGCTCAAAATTCTCGAGAAGAAAAATCATAAAGAAGGAAATGCTACAGAAAAGATGAGAAGGGACATTTTGAACAGAAAATTGAGGGGACGTTTTTTTTGCGTGATTAGATACTGAGGGAAGGGAAAAATCAGTAGGAGGCTAGTAAAAAGACAAACAAGGAAGTTTCCCACCTATTGTTACATGTGAAATTGCCTTCATAAATTGTGTTTTTAGGAAGAAAATTCTCTCAATTTCTTTTTTTTCGTTTAAAAAATTCCATACATTTTTTTTCACGCTTCATTATTTAGCTAAACCATGATATTTAACGTTTTTGAATTCAAGAAGAGAAAAATTGTGTCTTCCGCTCCAAAGTGATTTTTGGGAATTGTTTGGAAAATACATGAGTGTTTTTTTCACGAGTGTTTTTCGAGTGATTAGATGTTGAGGAAAAAAGGAAATGGTGGAGTAGTACTCACATAACGAGTCAGTTTCCAGAAATAAAGTTTTGGGAATAGTTTAAAGGATCGATATAATGTTCCTTCAGAATAAAACCAAAGAAATTGATCGAGACATGTATCTTTAAGTGGGAGGGAATATTCTGAGCAGAAAATTGAAGTGCCGACTTGATTGCCTCCATAACGAGTCTTTCTGGGGAGAAATTTTGGGAGTCAGTTTTTTCAATCACTTTTTCTTTAGTCAAACGAATTGATAGCATTGGTTTTAATTGTTATTATTAAGGTTGAGAGTGAGCTGAAAATTCTAGAGGAAAAAATTTATGAGAAAGAAAATGCAACAGGAAATTCAAGTTTCTAGAAAAATTTATATGCCTAGAGGATAAGAGTTCAATCTCGTTATGAATTCGGAACTCTTAAAATCCTATAGAAAGATAACAATTTTACAGGGACCCCTATAAGACCTTTTTATACGTGGAGAACCTGTAGTAACAGGGCATATCTGGGCTGCTCGATCGCATTTTCATGTCAGTCTTCTGGGGTGTTATGTCGAAATAGACATTCCAATATTGTATTTTTTTTCGAAGCGAGAATATTTTACAGGGCTTATTAGAAAAATTCACATGTGGAGAAATTTATGGATGATACTGAGTTTCATGGGAAAATTTTTCCTGTCTGAATGTGTTAAAATTTTTCCTCTGCTTGAATGAGTTAAACTGCATGAGGTGAAAAATGTATATGTTTATTGCTAAGTTTATTCGTCTAATAGTTAACTCGAATCAAAGTTGAAAAATGGTTTTTGGCTCGTGAAATTATATCACTCACCTTCGGCTCGTGATATAAACCTCCCACTCGCCAAAAACCATTTTTTTGCACTCGTTACGAAATATAGTATTTCTCTCTCATGAAAAAAAAAATTGATTTGACGGGGATTTGAATTCGCGACGCAAGTAAAATCGGCGTGTGGTGGGAGATCTAACCCGCGTGAGGGGAAGGGACGCAACAGCGCCGTGCGCGGCTTCCATTGGAACTTGTCCCCTGTTTCGGTGTCGGCGACATCAAAGCTTCACCATACCTCCCTGTATCATACCTTAGCTCTGTCCGGCGGAATTTAATGCGAAGAGTAGAAAAAGCTCAGTTCTCTCAGAATGTGGTTCCTCCAAATTGAATGATTTTTCAAGGAAATCTCAGTAAAATTTTCTATACAGTCCGGTACAATAAGAGGGATCTCGACTTTTTATATAAAATCCATGAAATATTATTAGTGCCGCAAAATGAATCACTATGAGTCTGAAGAATTCTACTGTAAATACGAGAACTTTGACGGGATTGGTAGTGAATTTTTACCATATTGGCAACTGATTCTTTTCCGGTGCTGTAAGACAGCCTGCTACCCGGTTCTCTAATTTTCTTCTCAATTAGCAGAGAAAGATTTTCATGTTCATTTCCATGCACACACCGTCTATTGAATTGCTATTGGAATTTCCATTAATTTCAAAACGTCCCGAATTTTCCATAGAAAACTAATTTATAGAAAGAATCAATACCATTTCTTTTTAGTTCTCATACAACTCATTCTACTGAAATATGTTCAGCTATAATAGCCCAAGACCTTTAAAATTGTCGAATATATCCCGATAGTTTTGTTGCATAGCAACGAGACGGATCAGTTGTGCCGAGGGGCTGGACACTTCTTAAACTGGTGGCTGAAGTGATTTCCAGAGTGGGATGATTTTCTGTGATTTCTTGAATGATTTCTGTGATTTCTCAATAAGAATAAAAAATTATAATTTCTTTTGATTTTTCGTGATTTCCATGATTTATAGTAGATTCTAATTTCTTGATCCCGTGACCCCGAAAAATATTGTACTTTGATTGGTTGAAATCAGAATTGAGGAAATGATCATTTTGATAATTCACTAGTAGCCTGGTGAATTATCAAAATAAGACCCACGTGAAGGCATCACGTGACTTCGAAGACTGCGCTCTGATTGGGCGAATCGAGGAGGAAGAACATTCTCAGAAAATATCTCAATACACTAAATTGTACGGAAAAATCAAATTCTATTGTCTTAGTCAATAAATAGTTTCTATCAAATAGCTCCTGTGGAAAGGACGCCCGTCAATCTGCAAACCTTTTCAGAAGAAGCAACGAAACATTAACAGAATTATCAATCAAAAGTAAAAAAAAATCCAATAGAATTTTCGTGCGTGTATGTATGCCGTAGCACATATAACAAGAGATTTCCGCTGATGATCTCGTACTATGAGGAAACATTTGCACAATCTGTAAACTATCAAGTCAACAAATATCGCCTTCACTGATAGAATGATTCATTTATTCCAAACGAAATTCGTTAACTATTAACAAATGGTAGAGTTGAATATGACCAAATGAATATTCGTTAATGGTTAACGAATGGTTCACTTGAATGGCGAAAGTCAGGTCAAACAAGGCTCCTCAAATATACATTCGTTAACTATTAACGAATGAACATTTGGTGGGACCGAATAGACCTTACAGGAGATTCAGATATAAATTACGGAACGCTCCGGAAAAATTCCGTGACAGTTCCGTAAAATTTCCTACAACCACATTTCGCCCTGGAGTTACGGAAAAGACACGTAATTTTTAGTGAATATTTCTCTCCGTTTAACAAAAACTAATCCGTTCTATCAGTGTTGATTTGTTCAATTTCGAGAAACAATTAAAAAAAGATATAATCTCATGCTTCCTTATATATGTAATTCTCATAAAACTGAACATACATTATAATCACAAAGATGCAATCAGTGATTTCAGTAGAATGATTGCGCACTACAATATAATGAACGAGTCCAATTTAGTGGTTACGACTTACAACGCAATCCCACACGCCGCCTCGTCACTCAAAATCTCCAACTTAGCCAAGGCGTTTTGTAAACATCCAATAAGATACATTGCAGCGTTAGTGAAGCTCGATGCGTGAAAAAAACTGTAATTCATTCCACGAACATAAGTGTGCTCGACAAGTGGGTATATAAACGCCTCAGTTGGCGCAATCTAATTCTTTTTCATAGTGATTTCATTGCGCGTCATGGATTCGACACAGGTGCAACCTTCGACGACTGAAACCTTCTCTGGACTCTCAGAGAACAGACAATTGGTAGGTGAATAATATAAAAATAGACCTTTTCATTCTGGAAATCTAGGAGAAATATTTATTTCGTTCATTCAACGAAAAAATCTCCGAAAAAACCATGGAAAATTCTGATAAATATTGAACTTTACAATGATATACACTTGAGCGCTCAAAAACCATGATTTAAATGTAAATTCGATAAAGTGTCCGCAAATCCTAGGGGAATTAACATGGGAAAAAAGTGTCCGCAAATCTAATGACTCTCAGAATGAAAAGGTCTATTATTCGATGAATACAAAAATATTCATTGATCACGTAGAACTATAGTACTACAGTTCCATTGTCCGTTATTATCATGATGAGAGAGACAATGAGTACAACTGCTAATAATAACTCTGAAACCATTAACGACTTACTTGATGCTGAATTATCTCCATCGTTTGTAATTTATTACCTCCAATGAGTGGGGCTCGAGTAAACAAAACGCAAACACTGACTTTTAGTTGTTATCAATAGCTTTGCCATTCGGTAATCACATTTGAAGATAACAATGAAAACAGCAAAAGTATTTCTGCGGAAATGATAGACTAATTAATTGGAATGCTTGTAAATAGAATACCAATGATAATTTGAATTCTCAAAGCTGATTTTTTGCGAATAGAAGCGCGTGATGCTTCTGGACCGCATCGATCCAGGTGACGTTTTCTTTCAAAAAATTCTGCGCCTGGGAATGTGTGACGATACGATCCAGGATGTGCAGTTGGTAGAGAAAAGAGCAGCGGTGAAAAAAGGGGATAATTACCTGAGTTACTTAACAAGATTTACTCTCAAATACATTTGTAATGTACCCAAGGGGCTTTATCACGAAGTAGAGCACAATGTTGCACATCTAATCATAAAAGAGGAGCCAGATTCTAATGGAATGACCTTGGAATATGTCCGAGAAACCAATATCTTTGATACCGAACGACTCATGTTAGAAGAAATTGTGCCTAAGATCGAAAAGCTGATTGGAAAACGGTTGAGCCCTAAAGCTTATTACTCTTCAAATGAGCCGAATATTATTGTTATGGAAGATTTAGTTTCTCTTGGGTTTCAGAATAAGAATCGTAAAGTAGGCTTAAACAAAAAACAGATGTTCATGATACTGGAAAATATCGCGGATTTTCATGCAGCATCGGTTTTATTAAATGAACAGGTAGGAGAAAATATAAAAGAAGCTCATCATTAATTTATCTGTCAACTAATAATATCTGTTATTAGAATCCTGGGTGCGTGTCACGATTTGCAAGCGGCTTCATCAATTCCAAGACACCGGTTGCGTTCTTTACATTTATATCGAATGGTTTGGAATCTATTGGAAACAGTGTTCGTAATTGGCCGGGCGAAAAATTTGTCTCAATATCTAATAAGCTAATAAATAAATCGAGAGAAATTATTCAAAAACTTTTCATAGTCTACCAATGCGATGCAGACGAACTTCAAGTTTTGAATCACGGAGATCTGTGGGTCAATAACATCATGTTCAAAGACGATGGAAATGGAGAACCCCAAGAGGTTCGCTTTGTAAGTATCCTGAAAATATATTATTATGAGATATTCGATAAACAGCCTCATTCATTTTCTTGTCCAGGTGGACTATCAAATGTGCATTTGGTCTTCTCCTGCGATCGACCTGCTCTATTTTCTTGGCATCGTCCCCGAAACAAGTATAAAAATGACCAACGACGAAATATTTTTACAATGTTACTTGAACCGTTTCGCGAGCACAATGCAAACATTAGGCTGTTGTGCAAAGTCCCCCACCCTAGAACAATTGAAAAGATCAATGTTCAAACGACGAGACTACACGCTCATGGCGGCACTAACATTCTACCCCAAAATGATAGCAGACGATGACGAGGTTGAAGACGTAGATGACATACTTGAGAGAGGGGAATCGACAACAGATCTTCTGAAGAATCCAACGGCCCGAGAAACGATAGCAAAGATTCTTCCAATATTAGATGAGAGGGGTTATTTGGATTGAATTGATTTGATCGAATAGTAGATGATGTAACATGATATTTTATCGTCTACAGATGCATGCTATAGTATATTGTGCAATAAGGGCGGAAAGATATATTTTTCCCGTCCGAGGTGTACATGCTATTTTTAACACAGCCCCAAAGAAAAGTTTGGATTTTGCTTTCTGATGAGTGCGAGGAAAGTGAATAGTTTCCACTCAAGGCTGGAAAGTTGTTCCCGATGGCGGAAAGTAATCGCTCTTTTCCATCTGAGAGAGCAACTTTCCACCCTACGGCGGAAAGTTCTCACTTTGCTCCTCCTTATCAGGGAACAAAGTATAAACTTTGCATGCAGGTGTGTAAAAATAGTATATTTCGTAACGAGTGCAAAAAACATTTTTTCACGAGTTACGAACAATATTTTTCATCACGCTGTGACGAAAAGTGAACTTTTCGGCACGCTCCGCGCGCCTAAAAGTCCAATTTTCGCCACATTGTGATGAAAAATATTGTTCGTAACTCGTGAAAAAATGTTTTTTAGCTCGTGGGATTATATCATTCGCCTTCGGCTCGTGATATAAACATCCCACTCGCCAAAAAACACTTTTTTGCACTCGTTACGAAATATACTATTTCATCACGCTGTGACGAAAAGTGAACTTTTCGGCACGCACCGCGTGACTAAAAGTCCAATTTCCGCCACATTGTGATAAAAAATATTGTTCGTAACTCGTGAAAATAGTATATTTCTAACCTAGGGAGGGAAAATAAAGGATCCTCAGCCGCCAGTGCAATTCCCAGCCGAGCCGAAGGCGAGGTTGGTAAGCACGCGGCTGAGGGTCCTTTATTTTACTTCCCATGGTTAGAACGCGATTTTCCGTCTCGGCGTAGGCGCAAAGTCAGAGTTCCCTCCCGTGGAGCGTGCCGAAAAGTTCACTTTTCGTGACAGTGTGATGAAAATGTTATTTCATCCATTTGTCTACCTATATCGTTCGCATCAGATGAAATATATTTTGCTCTATCATTTGATGACGACTATATCATATTCTGATTATTTTCCTATTCTAGTTCTTGTCTTTACACTGGTTAAAATTTTGGTAAATTGATATAATACTCACCTCTATTTATTTGAATTAAAATTATAATTTCTGGTTATTTATATTCATAGTAATTGTTGATTTATGAATAATAATAAAGTAAATAAAGTTAAATAGCTCAAATTTGATCATAATTTTGGTCTGGGTTACGAAGAATTAATTTCTCTCCTGCACAACACAAAATGTTCATTTGTGAAAGCAACCGCTCTTCGCTTTTAAGTCACGTCGAAGACGTGGCGGTGCATCAGCTTCCAATGAGAAGAACCTAGACAACACCAACAACCTTTAGACAACATGACAAAACTTTTCTGACAAACATTTCACTCCGCTATCCTTCAACCATTAAAATATCACATATTAATTCTATCTAAAATAGCTGTGAAATCTCTGAGGTTATATATTACATAACTATTCCACTTATAGATGTAATCTATTAATTAAAATACATGTATAAAAATTTCAAAATTAATCACTTCCGCATCTATGGATTTTTTCATCAGAAAGATGTTAAATAATTTCCAGTCCTGAAGCAGAGCCAAATCACCACACAAATAACAACTCGACACTCGTCCCAGGGACTCCATTCATCACAACACCAAAACAAGATTGAATTATATATGAAATATACGAGGAAATTCTGTGAATCCCCGTCACAACATTCCTAAGCCTCTAGGTTACTGTCATGGAAAGCTTTTTTTTTGGATTTAGATTATTGTTTGTATGGAAAAAACAAAGAGTTTGATGTATAAATTATTGAAATAAATTTGGTGTATCCACTAAAAAATAGTATTTTTTCACTGAATTACACTTCGACCCACGATTACCATTCGTATAGAAAAAATTGTGACGATTTTCTAGGTAATTTTTATTCAATTTTTCTCTTTGTGTAGGGTTGGATAGAGTGCCGAATGGGACCCGTAAAGGGATTCGAAGGCCGTAAGAAAAATAAACCACTGATTGACACATGATTCCACTGATTTGCGTCATTTGGATAATTCGGTTAGTCTTTATCTGAAATATGGACATTAACTTGCGATTTATTCAACATTCGTACACATGTACTAAATTGACTGGGGCGATGACCTCGGACGGAGAACATTTCACCATAATTCCACTAGTTATTACTGATGATCTATCTATTGATATTTCATTTACGATAAGACGTGTCTATAAATTGTCAGAACACCTACTCCGTGAATCAGTCAAATTTTATTTTTCATTCTAAAGTATGAGGAATTTACGCTCTTTTTTGCATGCAGTACTCCTCACGTACTATATTAGTATTACAATCATCAATGGTGTAAGTAAATTATTGAGAGTTGCTGTGTTATCGTAAATCATTTTGAGAAATTTGAAGTTATATTTTCTGTCATAGAGTGAAAGTGATGACTTACTCAGGAAAGAGCTAGGTCAAGTTGATGGAACAGAATTGACTGGTAACATATTCACAACCAATGATTTAACAACAAAATATATTCCAGTACATTGATACTTCAAAATATTGTTTCTAGATGGAGGCTATGAAATTGTGCGACTTCTACATCGAGATATAAAATTGGAAAACGAAACTACAAAGGAATTCCGATTTCGAAGATCGACAGGCGACAATGTCACTTGGACGATGAGAGAAACTTCCATAATTCGCTCAAAAACTCCCGTCTGGCTGGTGTATAACTCTTCAACAATTATTAAGGCTGATGAGAATGTAAAAAAATCATGAGCAATATCGGTCAATTATAACGATCGACAGATTTTCGTAACTTAATATGGGCTATGCACTCCTCTGTTCAGGTAATCAGCGGTGCCGTAACAATATATGAGGATCCGATGCGGTTTATGTCCATCGTCTCGACTTCTGATGAATATGATCATCAGTATTTCGTAAGAGATTCCTCCATTTTATCCCTCAAGACTTTTATTCCTTCAAGCAGAGCAGCACGAAATTAACTTCTTCAATCATCGATGCTTTCATGAATAATGACGCGCATTCGAAAAATTCCTACAATTTTACCGTTTTGAAAGTAGCTTCTAAAATGAAATGCAATTTGTGAAATTTCACTCACAATGTTGTTTTCATTGTTTCTCATCATGATACGCTATTGCAGGTTGGAAACGTCAACCGCACCAGAATAGCGCCGTTATCAAAGAGGATCGTCAGAAGCCTCTTGAAGGAAAAACCATCTCTTCGAGGAACAGACATGGGATGATAAATCTGAAGGATTCACGCTGTCTGATTATCACATACTTTATACACCGGAACCACCAAAGAATGAACGAATTGTTCTTCGTGAGTTGATGAATAAGTATCCAATAAAAATATCTTTTAGCCCCTCACGGACAGGGCCCTTTTGTTACCACGCGAAGTGTGTGCTCAATACGTTTCGGATTCGATTATTTCTAATGCATGGAAAATTACGAAACCGGTATGTAATTGGAGCTACAGTATTCCGGTTCCCAATTTTGTTCATTTGATTAAGTTATTTTTCATAGATTTGGAAATAATCAATTTTGGAAATAAGCGTTCACATTCATATGGGTCGATACCACGCATCGACCCCGTACGTGAGGGGTCAATTCTCTACGGTGGCATTGTGAACGGTCAATTTCTTGATTTTCTGATCTCACCTGGAGTTGACTTGAAATGCTATGAAATATCAAGACATAGCAATAAATAGATGATAATCAAAACCAACTCTTTCGGTTTTCAGCCTCGATGGGAAGTCCTGAAAGATTCAAGAAAACACAATCAAAATACAATAAGAGCGCTTATGACAGATTAAAACGATCAACTGCTGAAACTGTATATCCTGAGGTGCTGGCAATCCTCGATTACAACGAGACATATACTACGTAATGATAATACATCCACTATCATTGTAATAAGTTTCCATGCGTTGTGTATCAGACTTTAAAAGCTTACTATTTCTTAGAACTCGGGAATTCTGCTTTATGAGATTGATGATGTACACAATCAATTTCTAGAACTCAGTGAATCTTCGATTTAGCACTCTTCGAGACCCAAAAGTACAGTTGAGATTGACTGGAATCGTAGTCAGTATGGTGAGTCGTTAAAAATGACTTAATTCTTTTAATGACAAATCTCACTTGTAAGGTTTTCTCATAATAGGCACGCCCGGCACTTCCTTTTATAAAGGATTTAATTCAAGACGGAATGATGAACCGTGGTGTAACGTGGTTTTCAGTCGACTGGGTGGACATGTTCATCCCTGAAAGTACCTACGATATCGTCATGATACAAACGAAGTGGGTAGTAGATTATTCTGAGAAAGATTACGAATTCGCATATTTTGGTTTATTATTATATTTCCACCAACACCTATATCTGAAGATATCGTAACACAAATAATAAAAGAATTTCCAATGAATTTTCAGTGACACTCTGTGATCAAAACGCCGAAGGACAGTGCAAAAATGATGGAATAGTCGGTAAGCGATTCATCGTTAATAAATAATGAAAGACTGACGCACCTATAAATTCAATGATCTATGTAATTTTACAAAAAATAGGAAGTGCAGGATTGGGACCTAAATGCCATGAGAATGGTGACGCAATGTCTGGAGTAATTTATGATAATATGCATTATGAAGGTGTACATGTAGCAGCTCATGAAATTGGTCATATGTACGTGAGACGATTCTTAAATTTTTCTTTACAAATTAATTTTACACTCATTTTGCCAGATTTACAGACATAAACTTCGTCTACATTCCTTTGCACAGCTTTGTTACATTTATACAGTTCATTTACATTACGTGGGTCACCATATAAGCGAAACACCGCAGCGCGTCGTTTTCCTGTAATTGCCATTGACTAGTTAACTGAAACAGGTGGCCCATCGCACAGGTGTAAATCGGGTATAGTTTTTTTTGCTAATAAGTTAGCAATTTGCTTCCGAATGGATCAATCGAATTCGAACAAAAAAATGCATATTCGGTTTTTTGTTATTAATTTCAGATTAGTAGGGAAGTTTAACCTCAGAATTGATTGATCTCACTGAATTGACAAAAATTCCCTGATACTTCTCTACACATTCGATTTTACTATCTGTTAATTACTGGCTATTATAGAAACAAAGATGATTTTCATCTTTTCATTAATTTATTTTCTTGTAACGATTCTTGAGAATGTGAATGCGCATAAGTTCTCAATTTTTACCGATTATTCAGACAATATTCAGAGCATAATTTTCTCTTCTTTATCACTGTATGCTTATTTAAATATAAATCGATAGGCTGGGGGCTCTGCACGATGAATCTCCGCTATTACTGAATTGTACAGAGCGACGTTACATACTGTCAAACAATTACAAACATATTGACCGCCCTTTCGAGTGGTCCAACTGTAGCAGAGCGATCATTTCTGAAGGTTTGAGGTAAATTTGAATTCCCTGAAAATTTCTTAGCTTCTCTGATATCACCACTGATAAATAAAAAATTTAATTCTGCCAATAAAATTTTTTCCGGACACGAGTTTATAGAGAGATTTTGTGTGGAAATTTTGAGTATTTGTTTATCTCAAGCGAATTTGATTGACAGAATTCATTTTTTTTTATTAGCGAACAAATGTAACAAACTAATTGTTTGATCAATAAATATTCGTGAATGCAGATCAAATGTGGAAAATTGTCTAGATAATGACACCCCTATTACATATCAAGGAGAGTTGGTGGATGAGGTATTATTACCGGGTAAACAGATTAGTGTGAAAGACCAATGCATAAGTAGAGGATATGACGACCCATGCGAGGTATGTAAAAATGAGGCCTCAATTTTCCGTTTGGAATAGTTCCTAACTCATCATTTCAGTCATCAGATATTTGTCAAAATGTTGAGTGCGAATGGGGGTGGTTCTCAATATGTAAAGACACAGGACCAGCGCATGACGGTACACCGTGCCCTACAGGTGTAAGTATACCACTACATGTTTACTTATTCACAGTACGAAAATGTAAGACAATTAATATGGAAATACCATTTTGATTTCAGGAATGTAGAAATGGAAAATGCATGTCCATAAAAAAAAAGCTACAAGATGATGATAATTAGCAGGCTTTTTTGCGCGAAGAGTTTGAAAATGTACGATTGCATTTGAATGTATGAATTGAATACATGTAAGAATTATTAGAAAGCAGATTAGAGGAAGCTTTTATGACACCAATTTTATCTTTCATTTATTTCACAATTGTATGTAAAATACACTAAAAAAAATTGTGAGTGAATAAACCAAAATTTCCTCCTTTTCCCAACAATGTAGTTAAATGTAGCAGGGAAGTCGTTGTGGGAGCTAAAAAAGTCTGTGCCTCAAGCAAATTGTCTCATGATTTTTGTTTTCATTTGATATGGATATAAAAAGCTGGTTATTCGAATTCATCTTTAATGAAAGATTTCCAGACATTTATTTCCGTCAATCAATTCGTATATTTCATTTGATTGTCAACAAACCATGTCCTTAACGAATAAAAATTGAACTCCAATAACTCATTTTATCTTTGTTTATGAACGTAACTTAATATAAAAAATAAAAATAACAATGATAAAAATATCTACTAAATAGAACGTTTGTTTGCATTTCCAAAGTCTACAACACTTATAGTTGAAGATAAAATTATTAGACTTCATATCCCCTAGCATATGGTTAAAACCTTCAGTAACGTAAGAAAACAGCAAGAAGAGCCAATTCTATTATTACATTAGTTTTAAAAATTCATCTTGACGAAACAAAATCTTAATGGACATTTTTTTATAGCTTAGTCTTACCTACTTCATGAAAACAGATTCTCAAAATTATTTGGCTATTCTTCTATAATTCCGAGATATTGCAAAAAAAATTACCTTGCAGTAAACTCGTACCATTTTTCTACTACAATATTTTTTGATCAAAATCTGTGTAGAGCATGTTCAAACTTTGCTCGAAAAAATATAATGTTTTCAAGGATTCGTCGACATCCCCCAATGGTTGATGCAGATACAAAATCAATAACTGAAGCTATTGTTTACTTTCTCTACACTTAAACAAATGGGGGTGAAATTGTTTGACGTGCCGTCTGATGCTGTATCTCGATTGCAGTGACGATGGACGATGAATATAACATGTAGGACACTTATAACATTCGTAATAGTGTTTAACCCACACATGATCCTCCATTTTCGTTTTAAACTGTTCAACCACTTGACACCTATTGCAGACATACTTGTGAGGTGCATTACGTGTATACTCATTTTCCCAATCGATGGTGAAGAATTTTGGGTTTGATGGTAGAACGAAATAATTATCCGCCACCCTGATGAGGAGAATCGGTTTTCGTGGCTGCTTTGGATCTATTTTCTCAAGGTCCTCGACGACCCCGACAGATGGAGTATCTGATGAAAATTGATCTCCATCTAACACTTGCCATGGAACCTCTTCATTAGCATCTATGCTCAGAGACTCACCTTTAATCGATTTACCATCAAGTTCTTCTTTATTTGTTTCATGAACATCCCCTCCTATCTTCATGGCTCTCTCGGATTCTGCTTCCAGCTTTTGAAATTCTCCACGAACATCATCAAACCGATACGTCAGTCTTACTCCCTCCATCGATAGAGATTCTGTCTGATGGTAAGGAGAAATATCCTTACAAGTTGCTGAAGACTGCTTTGATGATAATTCCTCACACTTCTTCTGTAGGATGTTCACGTGTTGTTCAAGCATCAATTTATCTTTCAATTCATCATGCATTTTTCCCTCGAGAAAATCTTTATGCTTCACAGCTTCAGTAAAGGTTGAAATAACATTCTTCAAGGATTCTTGTTGCTGCTCGAGGTCCTTCGCACGTGACATCAGATCTGCCTCTCGCTCTTCCCAGGAAATTCTCTCTGAATTCAATCTCTGAATTACTATCCTTGCATGCTCGAGCTCAGCATCTCGAGCGTTGAAGTCTGTCCGAGATATCTGATTCTCCTCCATCTCATTATTCATTCGGATTATCGTCTCCTCCGCAGTTTTCAGCTTCTTCTTTAGAACTTCTGCGTCATCTCCCTGAGACTCTGATGGTGTTGGAGTGTTTTCACAGTTTGAAGAGATTAACTCTTTCAATCTAGCAATCTCGAGCAACAATTCTGAGACTTGCTGCTCCATTGTGGTCTTCATTTGGAACATCTCGGACTCTGCAGCCACCTCGGCTTCACGTGCTTCCTCTGCTCTCTTTGTTGCTACCTCCAGCTCCTCACGCAACTGCTCTATCAGTTCGTTGTCCGATTTCACCTGCATCTGCAGCACAATTTTCTCCCTTTCAAAAATTTCTTCAATCTCTTTTCGTACCTTGTGCAGGCGCATTGCAGTTATTTCAGATTGATATAGTCTGGCCCGAATGATTTCAAGTTCTGCCTCCAGACGTCTGTATTTTCCCTCATAATTCAGTAAAGAGTCACCACTTGATGTATTATGTAGACTTGAGGGTCTCAATGGGTTGAGTTTCTGGCGTTTTTGAGGAGTTTTGTGGTCTTCAGTACTCCATAAAAGTGGTGAACAACGTAAATGGTCGATTATATTCTCATTCATCTGCAAGTATCAATTTTGTAGCGATACTGGCTCAAAAATAGCGAGTCCTAACCTCTACAGTTCCGTCAGTGACACAAATTTTGTCTATTTTCATTACTCACCTTTGGATTGTTTATTTAAAGCGCAAATAGACTCATACAAGTTAATTTTCAGAAAATATGCTAATTGTGTTTACTGAATGCAGGAAGACCATTTCTCACCAGCTTCAATCCACTTTCACTCCACAACAGCAAGTTATCAATGAGTAATTCGCCATTTTTCGTCAATTGTCATGCGCATACGAATGAGCGCAAGTTTTGAATGCAAAGAATTAGATTTCAACTTGTTTGACTTTATCATCCGAAATCTATACGGCAAGTTTTGTTTTCATGTTAGATACAAATAATCATGTATAATTTTTACACATGACAGCACAAAAATTGATCAGTGACTCATGAATGCTCTGAAAAGCTAAAATTGTATCCTTAAGGATAATCGGGCGAGGAAGAAATGTTGGAGGTGAGGCGAAAGGGTTTCTATTGTTTTCCTGCAGGAAACCAATCGCTGAAGAAAAAAATTTTTCCCATTCGGATTAAAAATTCAGGCAATATTAGGGAGTATCTCCGGTTAAGAATTATTTTTGGAGCTAATCAAATTTATTTGTATCTGTTCCACGCATTGAATGGTTTTCAGATTGTTTTTTTTTAATAAATGAAAAAATATTAATTCATGCAAAAAAGTGGTAACATCGTCGGTAGTTTTTGATTTTTCACCAGGAGCTGGTACCACTGGCTCGAGGGAGCTCCAATCACAACGCTTCATCGCTCTCTCTCAAGAGACGTTTAAATTGACCGCGTTACCCCCACCTGATCGGTACTTAGGACTTTGCTGCTCGTTTGGGATGCGTGTGCAGAAATTTCATTTTTCAGTACTTTTTTCGGTATTGTTAATAAACAATGATCCTAGGCGACAATCTTTTTCACTCAAAAAATCATTGATAACATGTTCTAAATGTGTCTAAAGTTTCATGACTTTGACTGCATTTTTTCCTTGGGTTTTGCAGTTTTTTTGGTGATTTCCATAAGATCACGGGTTAAATGACCACTTTTTCAAAAATTCATAATAAATTAACCATGCTCCCCAACAGTCTGAAACTTTGCACACGCCTTTTCCAGCATTTAAAGAATACGTAAAAAAAAAGAAAAAAATGGCTGCTTCTTTTCTAACCCACTGGGCTCGCCTGATTACCCTTAAAACTCGTTCAAAATTTTATTCATCTGCAAGAAATGCGTACATAAATAAATGACACGCTTATTAGGAGCCGACTTACGTTCAAAAACGAATTGAAGAGCAAGAAAATACCTCATCGAATAAAGAGACTATATAATATCAAGGAGATTGAACAAGAAAATATTGAAACATATCTCGTTCGATATGGCCCTGTAACATAGCAGTGAAACAACAAACTGAAACAAGCGATATTTACACGAAACGTTAGGAGACTCTCTTCATGAGGGAAGAAACGGTCGAACTCAATAAATGTGACTTAGTCGAATTAATTTTATTATTTTGGCTTTTTGGGGTTCACATACCAGCTGCGGGCACTGCGGCCACGTCGCCATCCCTGAGTAACGTTAAACGCTGGTATGTCTTGTTATAAAATTGCCATACCATGCGTTCTTGAATTTAATTGGAAATTTGGAATTCATAATTTTAAAAATTATATACCTCTTGAAGGGAGGAGCTGGACGAGTAGTGGTCCCGTACATCTACTTGAACACCCATAATTATTACATGAGGTATCTCAAAGAAATTTAAATTCATATTAGCTACCTAGGCTGCCTATAATTGAAAGTTACGAATATTTAGTTTCGCTGAAGAAACTTTGAACAGAAAATATATCTCAACAATTTTCCTGTGCACTGATTGTGAGAAAAAGAAATTTAGTTGGGTCAACTAAATTTAGTCGAGTCAAACAAAAACCCAAAAAATTCAGAAACAAAATTGGAATTGTGTGAAATTTCAGTGACACACAATTACAATTTTGTTCTCATTGTGGAATCACTGTATGCACTGTTAGGTTGACCAGACAACCTTGAAACATTTAGTGCCACACGTTGTTCATTCTTGTACGCACAATAACTTGAGAAAAAATGAAGATAGCAAGTTGAAATTTGGTATGATTATAGCTCTTTAATCGGCCGAGCAGTTTCGGAAATATTGAACCTTTAGTATAAATCTAGTTCCTTAAAAGGTTGAATATTTCCTGTTTTCATTAGAATTGACATTTCACGAGACATCACGAGACAATACTTTGGAGGGATTGTCTCGGTCTCAATGAACCCGAAAATTTTTGCTCTCGCCGCAGTCTTGAAATGCGCAGTATCGACTCCTCTCGTGATGACTCCGAGTCAATTGACCTCATCTCAGTTTTCAGTTTTTCGCGGTTCTTATACGGAGAAAACCGAGACGAGCCAAACCGAGGCAAAAACAGAGATTTTACATTAAAAAATACGAAAAACTTGAGATCGAGGTGGCATATATTGACTCGGAGTCATCACGAGAGGAGTCAATACCGCGTATTTCGAGACTGAGACGAGAGCAAAGATTTTCATGTTCATTGAAACTGAGATCATCTCTCCAAAGTTTTGTCTCGTAAAGTGTCTCGCGGCATCACTACTACTTCTCGAGGTGTTTGCTAAGGAAACGGGAAATGAGTTACGAAATTGTCCCCAAACTTTTTTCATTGAATTACTGCTTTATTAGTCCATGAATGAGAATGCAAGTTGCAGTACAATAGTCTTAATATGTTTCTCAAGAATACAAGATTCATGATGTGAACGATACACTAATGAAATCTTCATAATTGAAAAATCAAAGTATTCGACGTGCTACTATTATACTGGTCTTTCATTTCCAACGTGCAATTTTTAATTGAACACATGCATCATGTTGTATGTGTTAAGGTATGCCACATGTAGGAACATAATTGTTTCATTCAAGATTCATTAATCTCATGGACTAACTTCTGTTTCTTTGGATGTGTAATTGACGTCATCGATTATAATTAATATTAGAAGTGTAGGAATGGTTCACAGATCGCTTGGAAAAATATTTCGAATAAGTTTCAATATTTGAGAACAAACAGCGTTCTTTATAAATGAGAACACGAACTGTGTTATAATATTAATAATAAAATAATTAAATCATTTCCTCGGGTTCATGAAGTTTGTCAATATCGTTTCTTTTTCCTCTCTACCTCTTTCAATTGAGTCTTGAGTATTCTCTTCTGCTCCCTCACTCGGGTTCGAAGTCGAACCAGCTGACCTTCTGCAATTGCCTGATGCTTACGATCCTCACGATTACGTTTCTCCAATATCAAAATTTGTCTTAAGCATTCTCTTGTTTCGGTGTCATGTAGTCCCAGCAACCCTAGTTTGTACTTATTCTCTTCAACATATGCTTCAGATTTGTCAAGTGTCCCATCAAGCAAGTCCACGATGGCCTCAGTTTCAGACAATTCTTTGCGAATTGCTCTGAGCTCTTTTGTGAGGAGTCTCAACTCTCTTCCAGTCAAAAGGGGACAGTGGTCATCGGGATTAACGCTTGGAGGCGTTGAGTTGTCAATTTGCTGACACTTTGAAATGAGAATGTTATCCTTGTCCATCTAAAACATTTGGCATCCTTTGTTGATTGTTCGAAAGTGATGATTTATAACCTCTATACTACGGTTTTAATAAATGATGGGTACTTACTTTTAGATACTATTTCAGTTAAAACGTGCATTAAACGATGAAGAATGAGGTTTTTTCACTGAAGTAAAGTCTTATGAAAGTGTGTTATACAATGGAGATCTTGGGAGGTACTTTTATTATGTTCCTTACGGATAATTGTAAACTTGCATCGTGTGAGCACAACAGCAGGCATAGAGGTATAATATCTAGAGTGCTCGTACGACTCCCGAGCTGTCGGAAATGTGAAGAGAGATAGCCTGCTTAGAACAGGCAATCGCTCTCTGCCTGTTGACTTGCGACGTGGGGGCACGACGTGTCACAATTCCCCCTCCCCCTTCGTGACCGTCGCAACTTGTCAAGAAAAAATGACAGTCATTTTTCATCTACATAGATGAAACTTTATTTTTTTCTCGGTCAATTTTCAGTTGAATTCCTTTTGTATTGGCCTAATCCGTATTTTGAAATGGAAATCACTTTGTTTTTCCATCCATATAGATGAAACTATTTTGTTTTATTCATGACCGTCACAAATTGGAAATTAGTTATGACCGTCATTATGCAACTATATAGATGGTTTGACAACAATTTGGTTACAAATGATTTGTGACAATCATTTGTGGTTAGAAAATTTGTGCGTCACATGACCGTCATTTTTTGGTCATATGACGCGATCTAAAAAGTGACGGTCATTTTGCATCTCTAGGTACGGGAAGCAAGATAGGGAACGAGCACTCTAGATATTATACTTCTATGACAGCAGATAAGAACATGAATATACGTGGCCTGATGCGCGTGCCCGTATGGCGCTTGAAATCTATTGGATGAGAAAGTGATCTGTAATTATAAGACTCAAGAAGGAACGATTATTGAACGATCAATTGTTATTTATTATATTAGCATATTTCGATATGAGTGAGACAGAATTTTCACGAGTGTGAAGTTGGCTTCGTCTCGACTTCGCCTCGGCTTCGCCTCGGGCTGCCAATCACATGAGCTGAAAATTCCTGTCTCACATGTGTCGAACAATAGTTTTTGACAGTGATGTTACGTTCAGCGAGTGGCGAACTGTGCCTTTTTTCGTTTACTAGTAAACGAAAAGGCACTTTTCGACACGAGGTGAACGTAGCGGCAGTGTCAAAATAGTATATTTCAGCACGTGTGGGGCAATATCGTCTTTAACATGTGTGGGGTTTACAGCATGAACCGAAGGCGAGTGATGTAACCACACACGTTAAGGACGAAATTTCCCAACAAGTACTGAACAAAATTTTATGTCACGAAGCCTGAAACCGGCTGAATTAGACACGAGACGCGAAGCCTCGACTGTGTAATCCAGCCGGTTTCAGGCATGAGTGGCATAAATATATATATGTAGTTCACGTATCTTCAAAACAATTAGATTCCATGATAGTATGTGTATAAATAGTTTGCACATAAATGGATAAGAAATCGTTTGGCAAAATTTTTGGAATATGTCATATTGTGAGAAACGACTATTCTCTCTCTAATAATCCGTTTTTCTCATCCCCCAGACGAACTTATCAATTTTGGAATCGATTTTAAGTTGTTTCAATCAGGAAATGACTGCGTTCTCATAAAAAAGTATACATTTAGGAAACATCTTTGATGTCTGGTTTTCGGGCCCAATGAAATAAAATATTGTATGTTCCACGGCGATAAAAGTATTATCTGATGAATGTGAGTTTGTAATCCGAGCCGAAGAATGTGATTTTATAATCCGAGGATTATAATCACATTCGTGAGATAATACTTTTATCGCGAAAATGGCCAAAATACAATGTACTATTGCGATCATAGTCCTCGCTTCCGTTCTGTAAAAACAGGAAATGAGGGGATTCCCCGAGAGATAAATTTAGAAAGTGATAGACAAATTCAATGGCTATGTAACTCCTAACTAGGGCGACAGTTACCATTAGAGTAAAAAATTTCAATCCAATTTTTCTGTAGGGTGAAATGATTACTTTGAATGACTCAAATTCAAACATATTGTATAACATCGTTACGAAGCGCGTAAATTAATTTTTCAAAAATGATCGGTTCACGATGATTGAGTGAGTTTGATATCAAGGACTACCAAATAATAGAGGTAGATCAACAATATGATCATCTATGTAGAGCACAGCCTACGTTGAAAATTTCGTATGAAATATGCCCATACGCAAATCTTCATGTTTCTTATTATGCTTCAAATTGCATTTATCAATTACCAATGGTTGATGATCTTGGGTGAGAACAAATGAGAGGAATGCTTTGCAGCCGGAATGATAATGGCTATGAATGATTCATTAAAATGATAACTAAAGGAAGAACCGAGATGAAATGAAGTTTTCTTTTTACCTGCACTTACGACAAGTAGTTGATTGCCTTTCCCCCAAATTTACATTGATAACGTGCATAGCAATACTCCAGTACCAGTTTGAGTTTGCTCGTCATACAAATGATTTCAGACGTGATGGTCTTTTAAAGAGGATGACAAGTTACCGAAAAGTTTTATATGCATTTTTTTGCAAATATGTTTTGAATATCTTAAAGACACACATGAAAAAATTCAATAGAAAACCTAGCGAATTCGCTAGAAAGTTCTATTGAAATTCTATAGGATTTCTGTTGGAATTCTATTGAAAAATTTGATTTGTTTTTTGCGCTGTTTCTATTGGATATGTAATAAGAAAAAGTCAATAAATTTCGAAGTTCTGTTTGAATTTTACTGTTATATTTTTTCTATTAGAATTATTGGGCACAAATTTTCCAAGTTTTTTGCGTTGGATTTTGTTTTGTTTTGCATTGCAGAATCCGAGTGGAAAAAAATTATAAAATCAATGCCTAACCATTCTTATAGAAAAAATTTCAAGAAAAAAATTCAAACAAAAATTCAAAACCTATTGACTTTTTCTTATCGAATATTCAATAGAATCAGCGCAAAAAACAAACAGAGTTTTCTAATAGAATTCCAATAGAAATCCTATAGAGATCCCATAGAATTCCTATCGAATTCCAATAGAATTGTCTAGCGAATTCACTAGGTTTTCTATTGAATTTCTTCATACGTGGACAGACATTTGTAAAACCAAAATGCATCTAAAGGGCAACTTTTCGCAGAAATGTAAATATTTATCATTAAGCCGACTTATTCCGAGCTTCCATATAACTGCAATATATTTTTTCATTCATAGTTTATTATAAAGCCAAATTCGTCAACTCCCCCAGCGAACTCGTCATATTTATTCGTCACTCACAGAACTAGTTCCATTTTGTTCACATGAATACAAATTGCTTATCATTAAAATGTATTGTGATTAAAACGAGTGGGAAAAAACTTCATGTGCCCTTACTTAATCAGTTTCATAACACGATCCATCGCATTTAAAATCATCAGCAGGGCGAGTTCACCATTAACAGAATTTTAATTGATATGTCGCCATTCTCCAATCTCTGGGACAATATAACTCAAAATTATAGCTATTAACAATAATAAACATTCTTACCGAATACAACGTTCTCAACTTTCAAAGTTCCAAACGCGATAAAATGATGCGATGACGCGATGCTTGATACGTTATTCCTCTATTCTTATAGCAATAAATCAAGGAAAAACAACTATGAGTTTTAAAGGCGTGGACTACTGGAGGTAGATTTTTTATGCATTGAATGTCGATTACGTATGTCCAAAAAAGAATAATTAATTGTTTATAGTTCGTTTGCTCGTTTGCCTCGTTTGAGCAAAATTTTTGAAAAAATGTGTACAATAATAATTACGAACTAGTTTTTTGAAATTTGACTCCTACACATCAGCTAATTTCGTTTTGTTTAATATAAAAATAGGCAGAAAAATAATCCTTAAAATATTTAAAATATATTCTCGATTCTATCAGAAACATTTTTCAGGCTATTTTACATAAATGGTGCAATTTTTTATTTAAAAAATAACGGAATTAGCTATGTAGGAGTTGAATTTCAAAAAACTAATTCGTAATTGTTAAAGCACACATTTTTTCAAAGATTGTGAAAAAAAAAGGCTCTGTAGTTCAAAAATTGTAGGCCCTGGACTGTTTTTAACATTTTAAGCGTTTGCGGGGTAAACGAACAATAAACAATTTTTTCTGCACCAATTATTCGGTTTTAGACATATATAATCAATCTTCAATGCGTGAGAAATCTCATTGCAATAGCCCGCGATTTTAAAAATTCATAGTAGTCTCCCCTTAAGCCTGAAAAAGAGCAGCACACAGGGATTGAAATATCACCACGTTTTACAGAAAAATGTTTTGACTTGGTTCGGGAAGAAAATTAAATTAATTTATTTCATTTCAGCATTGCGCTACAGTTAAACTCATTGTAGAATATCTAATCTGTGTTAAACTCATTATAGAAACAAAAAAAAAGAGTGACTTTCATCAATATGATCATGGAATGGCCTGTAGTCATTCCTTAACGATTCAAGAGACTGACCAATCATCCTTTGACTTGGTAATGTTTTCTCTCCCTGGCCCGTAACATCAGGGGATGAATTCTATCCACATGAAATGCGATATTATTTCTCGATCCAAGACACGATGGATAATGGAGATAACACGTGGGACACTTGAAGCATCCGCCATAATGTACAAGCCACACGTGATCCTCCATTTTTGTCTTCCGCTGTCCACCAATTTGGCACCTATTGCAGACATAATGGTACTTTCCTTTACATGTGTACTCATTCTCCCACTTGATCTTGAAGAATTTTTCATCTGAAGGTAGGACGTAATGAATTCCCACTCTAAGTAGGAGATTTGGAGCTAGTTGCTCTCTCTGCACTGCTTCCAAAGAGTTCTCATCAACCTGGTCACTTGGTCTACGCAATAACGATTTATCATCTGCTTGTCGCGGAATCTCGTTATGGACAGCGGCATCCTGACACGTATCAGTAATCATCTGAGCATCGAGTTGTCTTCTGTTTCCTCTATTAGGATCCTGTCCTACCTTTATAGCTTCCTCGGTTTTTCCCTCCAATACCTCAACTTTCCTTTCAAGATCATCAATCCGAGACCTGAGATTTTCTCCCCTCATCGAAATGGGTTCTGTCTGCTGATAACGAGACACCATATGCTCAGAAACTGCTGAAGACCTATTTGGCGATAATTTTTGGCATTTCTCTTGCAGTATCTTCACCTTCTGCCTAAGCTTCTCTCGATCTCTCAATTTCTTTCTTATATTGGATATTTGTTCCCTCAGGTAATCCTTTTGCCTCACAGCTTGGCTGAGAGTAAAATAAACGGAATCCAATGAATCTAGTTCGTGGAGGGTCTCCGCACGTGACATGATCGTTGTGATAAAAAGTATGATGCTCGCTTCACCGAGCATCATATTTGGAACATCAATTTCTACTTGCACTTGCTTTGCTGCGCAGTTGTCCTCCAATTGGGGTTCTAAATCGATTATCTGTTCCTCTGCAGCTTTTAGCTTTTGAGCCAGGACCACAGCTTCATCTTCCTGAGACTTTGATAGTGTTGGAGTGACTCCACAGTTCGAAGGGACTGTGTTTGTCAATCTGGCAATCTCTGTTATTATCTCAAGGCCCTCGGCAACCACGTCACATGGACTCTTTGATGAAAGTTCATGCCCATCTGATCCTTGCCACGGAACCACTTCATTAGCAGCAGTGTCCATAGACTCGATATTAAACAATTCAACATCAAACCCTCCGTTGTTTGCTTCATTATTATCGTCTGTCACTTTCATGGCTTTCTCAGTTTTTTGCTCCAGCCCCACAACGTTCCTCTGAAGATTATCGACTCGAAAACTCAGTCTTTCTCTCTCCATCGAAAGGGATTCTGTCTGCTGATAACGAGACATATACTTGGGAGCTGCTGACGACTGCTTCGGTGATAATTCCTCGCACTTCTTCTGTTGGACCTTCACCTGGTGTTTAAGCATCTCTTTACCTTTCAATTCATCTTGCATTTTTCCCTCGAGAACATGGTCTTGCTTCACAGCCTCAGGAGAGGTCGAAATAACATTATTCGATGATCCTTGTTGCTCCTCGAAGTTCTTTGCACTCGATATCAGAGCTGCCTCTCTCATTTCCCAGGACGTTCTCTCTGCATTCAACTCGAGCTCAACACCTTGAGAGTTGGGTTCTGTCTGGGATTTCCGATTGTCCTTCAACTTGTCTTCCAATCGGATGATCTGTTCTTCTGCAATTTTCAGCTTCTTCTTTAGAACTTCTGCGTCATCTCCCTGGAACTCTGATGGTGTTGGAGTGTTTTCACAGTTTGAGGAGATTAACTCTTTCAATCTAGCAATCGCGATCAACAATTCTGAGACTTGTTGCTCCCGTGTGGACTTCATCTGCAACATCTCGCACTCTGCAACTATCTGGGCTGCACGTGCTTCCTCAGCACTCCTCGTTGCTGCCTTCAGATCCCCTCGCAACTGCTCTATCACTTCATTGTCCGATTTCACCTGCATCTGCAGCACAATTTTCTCCCTTTCAAAAATTTCTTCAATCTCTTTCCGTACCTTGTGCAGGCGAATTGCAGTTATTTCAGATTGATATAATCTGGCGCGAATGGTATCGAGTTCTACTTTCAGACGTCTGAATTTTCCCTCATATTCGGGTATAGAGTCACAGCTTGATGTGTTATGGAGACGTGAAAATTTTGATTCGTCGAGTTTCCGACGTTTTGGTGGAATTTTCTGATCTTCAGAACTCGATGAGAGTGTTGAACACTTGATGGCATCCTCATCCATCTGAAAATTTGAAGTGTAGTTGCTATTTGTTCAAGAATGTTAATTCCTAACCTCCACAATTCAGTCACTGAAATTTGCTCTCAATCATCATGACTCACCTCTGAATTCTGTTCGATGCGCCAAAAAATTGATGAGACTTTGGTGTCAGAGAATATTATGCTAACTGTAACTGTTTATTACATTCAAGGCAAGTTGGCATGTTTCTTAGCTGCTTCGAGTGTCAATAAAAACAAATGCCTCCTCAGTCGACTTCTGACATCATGCACAGAGGCGGCAATGAACAATCATTTCAAGATGCAGAGGACAAAATCGAGATTATGGAATTTTATGTTTCATTGACACTACATGAAAAATAGGAGTAAAGAAATCAGGGGATTTGGAGAAATAACAATAACGTTGATTAAATTGGCAAAAGCAACTTCGTTCACTTCAATTTACGAATATGGAGATGATTGAAAACATCTATATGAACAATTATGTTATTTTAGTACCCGACAAGCGTAGTAAATCGAAAAATTGTGAGTGTATTGGCAAAGGACGGAAAATTTTATGATTTTCGCTACTTTTCCCGTAGAAAATGCTGTTATGATTCAAATTAAAAAAGCTTTTGACGAAATAAGTACAAAAAATTGGGTGATATTAGCGAAAAGCCATAATAAATCCTTCTAGTAAATGAAAATATTGCCAATGTTCTGTTTTTGTTTGTCCAACTTCTAGGTTTTACGGGCCGTTATCCCTTTTAATCAGGATGTTTCGTTTATTAGAAGATAGATAATATAGAAAAATCCTGGCCGTTATCCCTCATACTTGGGATGTGTTTTCTAATAATGGGAGTCGATTGTAAGTAGGGGAGGTTGGGGTAAAATGGACACTTTTGACTTTTTTAAAAATGTTAATGACAGGTTGAAATGGTGATGAAATTTAATAATTTTTTTTTCAATGCAAAGAACAATTCTTGCTCTTTGTGATGGGCCTAAACTGAGCTCCCTTGATAAATTTGTTTCTAAGTTATGAGTAATTTAAAAAAGTCTAGTGTCCATTTTACCTCACCCTCCCCTATTATAAAATTAGAGTTACGTTTTGAGCTGTCACCGATTCGCTCATTTTTGCCAATTCAACGCTAAAATTTTTCATGTCCATTGATGGGCTTTTTGCATGCACGTCATTTCATTCCATTGAAAAATTCACATCTTTCATTCCTCTATTTCCAGTATGTACGTAAAACATTGTTCAATAAAAAAAATAAGTTCAACAGAAAATTAATTAAGAAGTTCTTTAGAATCATAATTTGTATATTTCTCTAAGTGTTTAACACATTTTTCCTTAACTTTAACCACAAAAATTGCAATGCTATGAGTAGAAATCTATTTAGAAGATATTATAAAGATGTAATACTTCGATGTTGCATTTTTGACGGAAGGGGACAGGAGTGACGGGGGTTGGGTGATGAACCACCCCAGTGTATCCGTTGAAATGCCCGGGAGGTGTATCCGTAGAGGATTAACTCCTCACGTACGGCGTCGATGTCGTGCATCGACCCATGAAAATATGAATGACTCTATCTGAAATTGTTTATTTCCAAAACTGGAATTTAACTCAACTGAACAAATAACAACGAAAAAGGAATACTGTAGCTTCAATTACATATAAATTTCATAATTTACCGTTGATTAGGAGTCATTACATTCTAGTTTTACCGAGTGTACTCCACACTTGGAAACAAAAGGGCCCCATCCGTGAGGGGTTAATCGAAATAATATCAAATCTTGTGAAAGCAGAAATAGGCGTTTGATATCTGCAATTTCTGTAGCGAATTACGTAGTCGAAAACAGGAGACGATACGGATTGTTTCGCAGCAATCTCTAAAGCTAGTGTATTTGAAAAAGAAAGTTGATAAATCTTCTTTGTAGTTCATCAAATCTCCTACGAAGAAGACCTAAAATTGTCAGCTGAAGCTATTACAGTTACGGAAATGGTTTCAAAATAAGTCGATGTGCTTCACTGAGAAAAAATTATTTTTGCCAAGTATCCATTCATCTGAAAGAATTATTTATTTTTTCAATAAGATACTTCTCCGGTTGAGTCATTTCCAGGTAATCCTCATTAGGTTTCATTTATGACAATTATATTGGTCTCGAAGATAATCATGTTAGTTATGATCTTGAGTGAACTTCCTAAATAATTATCAACATTAAAAAATTAATCGAAATTCTTCCTTGTGGAAAATGAGAAATTGAGGAAAAATTAATAATCATTGGAGGAAATCAGCCAAGGTCATGTGCAACATAGTCATCTTCTAGAACATGGTTGTCATGATTAAAACCTAAACGGGCTTGCCTGGGAATGACTCGATTGGAGGAATACGATTTTGAAAAAATAAATGCTTCTGTAAAGTAAATGATTATTTGGCAAAAATAATGTTTTTACTCAGTGTTCAGATTGTCTCCTGTTCATTCCCCTACTTTACTACTGATTTATCAAATTCACATGAGAATTAGAACTGCGATACAATGTCCATAAGTATGAAATTGAATCATTCCTCTCGGAGCATGAACCTCTTTTCCACCTGTGCCCTCTCCACGATAGCCTTCATTACAGCTTCAATCGATCTTATCTCCTCCATTCTGGTGAAGATTTCTGACAGGTTTGCTTCCGCAGTCGCATAGCCTTCACGTATTTCGCGAATGTGTCTCATTATATCCATATCGACGTGGGAGGATTCCCCTATCTCTCTGCGATATTGTATTTGCCTCTCAATTAACGCTATCAGCCTTTCATTTTTCTCTCTGGATTGTTTAGTGCCATCTGCAAGGAAAGCCACGGTGGCTTCAATAAAGACTAATATTTCTTGAATGAAGGTGAGCATTTTCTTCATAAGGTGCAAGATTTCCGACAAAACATCCATGAGGGTGAAGGCATTCGAATCATTGATTTCTGCACTTTCTGAAGCAGAAATGTCGTTCTGATCCATCTGAAATATGGTTCCATTGTTATTTGCAACTTTTGCAGCTACTTGCTTGGAATAATACCTAACCTCAGTTGATAATATTCACCTTGACGTTGGGATCCTTCAAATGAAACGTGGATTAACTGATAAACAATGATGGTTTATGACAATTGTAGATATTAGTGGATCTGTATCAGTGAAATATCAGTTTTCTTTACTCTTAGATCGCGGGAAAACACCTGATGAATACAAAGAAAGCTTGTCGCTTTTTCTTGGAATATTCGGCTGTATTCGGCTTCATTTGGGTTTCGGCGTCGCGTGTCGGGTAGAACACCCATCTTTATCGGCGACCCCTGTGAATCAAACCCAGAGTTAACTCCGGGTTCATGGAAATTTCCCAGAGTTTCTCTCTTTCTTCGCTGGGTTTTGCTTGCAGAGCGATTTTGCTCGTTTTATGTCGACATAAAATCATAAATTTCAACCAATCCTAGTTTAGTACTAGATCTGTGCGCGTGCTTATCTTTTTCTTGTGAAAATGAAGAAATCGAATTTATTAAACTTCATATAATCATAGATGTTTTATAAATATTGATAATGACTTAAAGAGAATTAAGAGAAGGAAGAGTGAAATATCAATGAATAATTTTTAATCTTCGATTAATTCCTTTTTTTACGTTTCAAAATAATCTGATTGAAATCTGTAATGGTTGAAAAATGAGGGGAGGGTTATAAATTGATTTCCTAGAAAACTGAAAAAAGTTATTGAATTCTTCGGAAAATTTCACGATTTTCTAAATAACCGTAAATCTTCAAAGATTTTTCTCGAATTATTTGGGAAACCAAAGAATTTTCATGAATTTTGTATAGTTTACAATTTATGTATGAAAATCTGAAAAGCAAGAATTGATCATTTTTGCGGATGATAAATATGAAAAAATTAAAATTTGGCAAGTGCAAAATACTTTGCGAGTTAAAAAAATTTAGAAATACTGTTTTTTTTCTCATCATCAACAATCAGAAAATTTAGATATGTTTTGATATAAGGACAAACTTCACACATGAAAAAATGAAAAATGTGATGCAGAAATTTTTTACCTCTAGATTCATTTTCACTAATGATTTGATCGGAAGTGAAATGATGCTCGCATACACCCCTTCTCGGGTTCAGATCTTGAATACCAATAAAATCCAACCACTGCTTACGAATATGCGGAGATTTCGATAGGACCTGAAATCTACATTTGTTCTTGCAATTAGGGAGAGAGCAAGGATAAACCATCGTTAACTGACATATAAATTCGGGGATCCTTGAGCACAAACCAATGTTTACAACAGGTTATCTTCTCTCGATCATGGGAGCCGCCATGTTGGAAAGCTAGTAGCACCCTGGCGCCATTAGTTCGTGAATTGGGCGAAAAACTCCCTAATTAGAGAAAATTATTGGGCTGGAGGGATTTCCATGGATATTTTTACGGATATGAGAATTGAAAGGAAAATATTGCACACGTACTATTTTATTTCGATAAATAATGAAAAATCAATGTTGGAAGCAATACAGAATTTCTATTAGACGATGCAGAGAGGATGTATCCTGTTATGGTTTTATTTCGGATATTTTCCACAGACATCGGCAATATCGACTAAACATCTGCAAAGAATT